CCAGTTGCTGTCATTCATATGGTTGTCCAAGACCTCGGCCCGATGGGCGAGGGTGGCCGTGCGGGTACTCCTCGAGATATCATTGAGCTGCACCCAAAGGCTTTCCAATATTTCCCCATCTACCATTCCAGCTCCGGGAATAAATGATGTTGCCAACCGGAAGAGGCACTCATCCTGATGACCATGGACATGAAATAAACCAATTCCCATGATCAAATTAGCCTTCTCAGAGATGGAAAGATTTGGATTGTTAGCAATCCTGTCCCAGAGATTAACATGATACTGACACATCATGTCATATATGATCATGATATCGTCCAAACCATTCAGTCCCATGTTCTTCAGCGCCTCACAAAGAGCATAGTCGATGTTCAGCTGGCGCTTGCCCTTCTGAAAGTCAACAACGCTGCCTGGAATGAAGGCGCCTGATCGGGGGCAGGCAAATGCCGCAATGCCAGTTGCATCACAGCCTGCGTGATTCTGACTTGCATTGTTGATGGCCTGGTGGTTGCTGCATGTTGATTTGACCTACAACCAAATGAGTCAGGTTTTGAAAGGGGCAGTGGGCGCAGTAGGATTCTGCGCCCAAAAGCATCAAATGCTACATGGCTACATGGCGCAGCAACCTCGGGCGGCGGAACTGGGATGCGCCACATATGGGAAGGCGGTCCAACTCACCTGGCGAGTAACAGTGGGCTGCGCCAGGTACTTCTTGTAAGCCTCCTTCTCTGTCATCATTCCTTCCCCACTGGTCAGCCATACATCGTCCATGGCATTTCGTTGCTTCAGGTGATCAGCTGAGAAGTTACCATCAACACAAAGAAATCGTGTGAAGACCTCGCTGCCAATGGGAATGAGTATGTGAACAAAGGGCAGTTCATGCTTACGGATGTGGGTCCTCTTTCCAGTTCATTGGCAAGTTAACACCTGGCTGGGCGCAAGATGCACAACCATATGCCATCTCTCCAGCCTTCGGCATTCTAGGCTCATGTCCAAAACCAAAGCATTTTTTAAGTTCCAAATTGCGCCATTGCCGACTAACTCTTCTGAATTCGCGATACCTGTCCTGGGGTGAT